GACTCAGCCTGGAATGAGGCGGCGTTGATGGATGCCTTCCAGGACGGCCTCTCCGATGACCTGCAGGATGAGTTGGTTCGACTGGAGGTGCCCCCGACCCTTGACGCTTTGGTGCTCCAGTGCCTGCGTATCGACGCCCGCCTTCAACGGCGACGGCCTCGTCGATCCCTGCTGGAACCACTGCCAGCGGCGGCACCCCTGCGTTGCGCACCAACAGGACCCCGGACTGTCCCACGCTTTGTGGCAACAGGTGAGGAGCCCATGGAGCTCGGAGCCGCGTGACCTCGTCTGACAGCCCAGGAGCGGATGCGGCACCGCCAAGGGGGATTGTGCCTCTATTGCGGTGAGGCTGGACATTTTGCCGCCTCATGTCCCAGGAAGCGGAGTGGGGCGCTCAAGCCTGTTCCGGAGTCTCGGCGTGATCAGCCAGGAAACGGGCCAGGCCTGGGGGAAACCCTGGGTCAGGCACGTGCACATGCCCCACCGGAGTCGGCGGCTGTGGACTATGAGCCCCCTCGGCACCTGATTCTGGACACCCGGGTGTTGTTGGCCAACCAGTCGGAGGGGCTCCAGGCCCATGCGCTGGTTGACTCGGGGGCCACGTCGAACTTTATGGACCAGGCCTTTGTGGCCCATTTTAAGGTCCCCCTGGTTCCAGTGGACCCTCCGTTGAGAGTCGAGACTATTGGGCGGGAGCTTGTGGCGGGGCCCATCAAATTCGCTACTCAGCCATTGCGCCTCGCCATTGGGGACCATGAGGAGGCGATTCAGTTTTACGTGGCGGCGAACTTGCATTTTCCCTTGGTCCTGGGGATGGCCTGGCTTCGGGCTCACGACCCTCAGGTGGCATGGTCGCGAAACGCCATCTCGTTCCCGAGCCTGCAGTGTGTTGATCACCACCGTCACACCTGTGCCAGCCAGGACGTATCCACCCCAGCCGTCTCCTTGCCTCCTGAGCTGACGTCCTTCGCCGATGTGTTCAGCGAAAAGGAGGCAGATCGATTACCCCTGCACCGACCCTACGACTGCCCGGTGGATCTGCTGCCCAACGCGCCATTGCCTGTGGGCCGCCTGTACTCCATGTCGGAGCCCGAGTTGGCCGCCCTACGGGATTTCCTGGAGAAGAACCTGGCCCGTGGGTTTATCCGGCCTTCGTCCTCCCCGCTCTCAGCCCCGGTCCTTTTCGTGAAGAAGAAGACGGGGGACCTACGCCTGTGCTGCGACTACCGGCGCTTGAACGCCATCACAGTGCGGAATCGCTACCCCCTGCCGCTCATTCCCGAGCTGATGGAGCGATTGCGGGAGGCCTCGATCTTCACTAAGCTCGATCTCCGAGGGGCCTACAACCTGGTGCACGTGCGTGAGGGGGATGAGTGGAAGACGGCGTTTGGCACCCGATACGGCCACTTCGAGTATACCGTCATGCCGTTCGGGCTGACCAACGCTCCCGCGGTCTTCCAGCACCTGATGAACGACGTGTTCCTGGACATGTTGGACCGGTTCGTGGTGGTCTATCTGGATGACATTTTAATTTACTCCCCGAACCAGGAGAGCCACCTCCAGCATGTCCGCCAGGTCCTGCAGCGCCTGCGGGAGAATCAACTCTATGCGAAGTTGGAGAAATGTTACTTCTTCCAGACTTCCATAGAGTTCCTCGGGCACATCATCACCCCCGAGGGCATCGCGATGGACCCGTGCAAGGTGGAGGCTTTGCGCAGTTGGGAACCCCCACGTCGGGTGAAGGACGTCCAGCGTCTGCTGGGGTTCGCCAACTACTACCGGACCTTCATCCCGGGCTTTGCCACTCTGACCTTGCCGCTGACCCAACTCCTTCGGAAGAAGGTCCCGTTCCAGTGGGGGCCCCCGCAGCAGCAGGCCTTCGAGGTCCTCAAGCGGGCCTTCCTCACGGAGCCGGTCCTCAGGCATCCCAATCCACACCGTCCGTTCGTGGTCGAGACGGATGCGTCCAACGTGGCGATTGGAGCAGTTCTGCTACAGG